AGTAGCAGAAGAAGTAGTAGTAGTAGTTGTTGTAGTAGTAGTTGTAGTAGTAGTAGTAGTAGTAGTAGTACTAGTCGTAGTCGTAGACGTAGTCGTAGTCGTCGTCGTCGTCGTCGTCGTCGTCGCAGTAGTAGTAGTAGTAGTAGTAGTAGTAGTGGTGGTAGTGGTAGTGGTAGTGGTAGGACTTTGCCACTCCTATCGACCAGCTCATCAGTTGCATGCGCTGCTCATCTTCGGGATGCATGACTCTGCTTTTCAGAATGATCTTTGTTGTTTTTATTGCCGTTGCTGTTGCCGGCTTTTTCCTAGTAGCTGATATTGCGGAACTCTGAACCTGGCTAACTCGCCGCAAGATTTCCTCATGAAAGCGGGAAGCCGAGGCAGCCTCACAGTCCGAGGCCTCAGAACCACCCCACAAGCCCTTGAAAAACAGTAAGGTGAGGGTTTCGGGTTTAGTTAGGGTTTATTTCGGATTGGGGTTTGGGGTTTAGGGGTTTAGGAGTTTAGGGCCACCACCTCGCCTTCCGGTTGTTCCCCGAGCTTCGGCTTCGGCCTGGCGCCGTAGCGTAAGAGGAGCCATGGACGACCAGAATGATGACGACGAGGGTTCTGATGACGAAGATGATGTGAGGACCAAGTTAATCAAGAAGAAGGAGATAGTAATCCTCAAGAACGCATAAGGTACTCACGATGCTGGAGATGGAAATGGTAGCGGTAATCGTGCTGATACTCTTGATGGCTAACTCGCGGATGGCGTTGATGCTGCTGATGATCGTGGAGGTGATGCTGCTGCCACTGCTTGTGCTCATGATGGTACTGATGAGCATGACGCCGACGTCGATGACGATGCAGGTTCAACCCGCTGACCCGGACACCTCATAGACAGCAATGCAAGGATGACGCCCTGCTTCTTGTTGACGGTAAGGATAGCAGAAACCACACGATGATGACAATGATGCTGACAGCGGTTGTGACGGCCATTGTCTGTGAGTGGCATTGTAGTCATTCATGATGATGCTGATGACGTGAATGAGCAAGTTATTAGTGAAGGCAAAATGACTGAGAATGCAGCACTTGATCAGCATTTGTGCAGTTGCTGCCGTCGTTACGGTCGGTGATAAGGACGTTGACGGCCAGGATTACGATGCTGATGACGAATTTATCGATGTTCGTGAGAAGCCTCATGAACGTGATGACGATGAACTAATTTTTGTTGCTGTCCAAGATACTGATGACTTGAATGAGCAATCTTGCCAGAATACTTTGAACTGGACGAGGGTGCAACACTTGACCAGGACAATCCCTTTCGGTGAAGGGACTGCTGTCGCTGGCTCTGCCCCTGACGGGGATGATGATGACACGACAATGATGATGCTGACGGCGATGCCCACGATTATTGCCGTGAACCAAATGGTGCAATGCACCAGTGTGCGACGGTGATGACGATGACAGCGATGTCGTAGCTGCTGGTGACAGGGTCACGCGATTGTGGGCAGGACGTTGATGGTGGTGATGGTGATGATGATCAGGCCGCGCAGGCTCAAATTCTACAGACCCTCCCAGATCAAGCGGCCTGCGCTCTTGGACAAGGCCTTTCCGGCAGGCCCTGGCAGCACAGTTCGGCTGCTGTTGCTAGTTGGATTCAGTGTGCACTATATAATTTGTAGGCGGATGTAGGCGGCTACAAGCATTGGAGACGTGCCATGGTTTCTTGCCCGTGGGAGGTTAGAAGTGTTGGCTGCAAAACGGCAAGAGCATGAGCCTGGATACCTGCATGTGTCGGGTCGCGACAGCAGTTTGCCTCACTTTATGCAGGGTCACTGCATGCTATCTGAATCGGAGCATGTAGGATATCGAATGGTCCTTTCAGCAGCTGCTTTCCCCAACCTCGAGTTGCAGCTGCCTGTTGTCATGAATTGTTGCTGCTGCAATCTCGTGAGGTGAAAGCTGAATGACATCGCAGCTACATGTCAGCTGCAATAGCAGAAACGTCCAAAGGGACCCCGAGCCATCACCACATGATCCGTACAGTCCAACCAAGTCTGCTTGCATGTGCAAGCGGTAGTTAGCTTGGGAGCAAAGGCTCTGGAAGTAGGAACCGCCAGCTTTCGATCATGCCAATAAGGATTCGCGGTTTTTCCTATTCTCTCTGGGCGTAAGCTTTTTTCATTCAATTGTCCCTATCAATATTCTCACGCCGATACAACCACCGCAACTTAAAAAAAAATGCTACAACTACTTTGATGCAACACCACCACCACCACCACCACCACCATAGCTGCTGCTGTTCCTGTGTCGGTACCAGCACTAGTAGTATTGCTGGTCCGGGTATTGATACTGGTAACTAGCTCCAGCTCCAGCTCCAGCTCCAGCACTACCACTACCACTACCACCACTACGACGACTACTACTGCTACTACTACTCCTCTGCCTGCTGCTGCACCACCACCACCATCTCGCATTACAGACACTCTGCTACTACGAGTCCATCTTTTCACGGCCAGCCCCATGCGATCGAGACCTAGTGCTGTCTCTTTCTACGTCTCATCTCTCAGGGGAACCCAACCCAACCCGATGTCCTCAAATCAGAGGAAGCCCCGATCCCCGAAAGCCTAAGCAGACAGCCCGCCTGAGGCATGCATCCAGGCATTTAGCTCCATGACGTCCAGGTCCTGGCCACAAGGCTTCTTGGATTCAGCTTCTGCCCCCGTTTCAAATATTATATATATATATGTATATTATATATATATATACAATATTACATATATAGAGTCAAAGAATTTCCGGTATCTTGGAGCCGTGGCTCTGGGAGCTCGGGGCAACTGCTGAATCTTCGAGCTGCAGAGGAATCCGAATCCGAAGCACGCAGCACACTCCAACACGGAGCACCTGAGACCCGAAGACACAAAGATGCAAACCGGCATAGAAGCCAAACGCCGAAATCTCAGATGCCCTCCGACTCCCAAATTAGAGCCCCGGGTCTACGTTTCGGGCTCCTCGGGATGAGGGTGTAGGACTTTGCTTTTTGTAGGTTTGAAAAGAGCCAAAAAAAGCAGAAACCCCACGGTACTGCAGTAGGACAGCTGACAATGAGTCCACGCACCTCAGACTAGCCACTCAATGCTCCCAGGGAAAACTACACACATTGACAGTCAAAGTGGCGGATGCTCATACCTGGCGCTGTCCCTAACCCCTAAACCCTAAACTTAAACTCTAAGCCTCTAAGCCCTATGCCCTAAACCCCATCAAACCTACTATAAACCCCATAAGCCCTAGAAACCCTGTAAGCCCCAGAAGCCTTATAACCCCAAAACCCCAACACCCCTAAGACCCCAGATCCTTAACCCTATCTTGAACTGGTTCCCTGTTGGGGCTATACTAAAAATGATCATGCTTAATCCTTATTGGGTTTTATGATAACAAAAAATGTAAAAAAAATGTAGCCAACAAGGACCCAGTGAAGATGTGGCATACATGTCGCGGTCATGGCGAGGTTCGAGTCTCCCCTCAAGAGCCTTCAGAATAAGACCCGAATAGAGCGCTTTCGGAGGCCTTACGGAACCCCCCAAAAGTGGCTTTAGAGCACCGTTTTTTGAACCTCATAGAGTTCTTAGTTCATGGTTGGGATAGCATTAGAAATGTATACTGCATCCCTCTATTCCTTAATTGAGTTCATGTATCCATAAATATGTACAATGGTACCCAACTGCGACAAAGCTTCGCATCCCTATAGGGAAACCGTTACAGGAACCCTTACAGGAACCTTCAATTGAACCTTTAAAGGAGTCCTTAAAGGAACCCTTTAAAAAGGCACCTTGAAAGGAACCCTTTGAAGGAACCCTTCAAAGGCACCTTGAAAGGAACCCTTTGAAGGAACCCTTTAAAGGAAAAGGAACCCTTTAAAGGAACCCTTCAAAGGAACCCTTTAAAGGAGCCTTGACAGGCCTCCCTGGGGCTCTCTGAGGCCCTGACCATGGCCTCGGTGTCGGGTACCTGCGCAGGCTCTCTGGCTTTTGGGATCGGACTAGAGTCATAAGGTTTGGGGTTTAGGGTTATAGGGTTTAGGGTTTAGGTTCTAGGGTTTAGGGTTGTAGGGTTTTTGGGTAATAGGGTTTAGGTTTATAATAGGGTGTAGGGTCCTGAAAGTCCTCCAAAAGTAGGGGAAAGTCATGGCCCTACACCTAGACAAGGCTAGCATTGAACATCCTTTGGGTGCCCTTGGTAGACCTCAGGTTTCAGGTTTGGGGGCCATGAACCTTTAACGTAAGGGTTTAGGGTTGTTTCCTAGTTGGGGTTAGGGTTATTCCATAGACCTGAGGCTTAGGGTCTTTGGATACTAACTCTTAACTTAAGGGTTTTGGCAAATGCTTACTTCCTTCATGAACACAAGGCTTGGGGTTTGTGGTAATGTACCCTGCCTTGGGGGTTTAGGGTTCTTACTTGTAGGCCCAAGGTTTTGCCTTTGGGGGTTCAGGCTTTCGGGTTTGTATGAGTTACGCGGTCCCCGGACACGGCCCCACGATGCTGCAACAAGGGCTCATACTTTTGAGGTTAGGCTTTAGCCAAAATCATCGAGCATGGATGTATGGTCGTAGTATTGAGCTTACCGGTTTGCGGGGTTCAGGGGGGATTCCGTGATTCCCGAGCGCATGGAGTTCGAGGTTTGGGAGGCACGTGAGAGGCTGTCAGCCGTTTAGTGGGCTTGATCTTATGGAAATGGACTGCTGAGAAAGCACGCCTCGCGAAGTGGAATGGAGTTGGATGTGTTGCCTGCCGGGATGAAAGTTAACAAGCAGTGCTGCTGTGGACCATCAGCTGCCATGTGCATATACGCTGTGCATGCCACAGGTTCCGAGCTCAATGCTATCCAGTCGATGCTTGCAGATTGCTCTAGAACAGGTTCTGGCACGGTGTTGACAGAAGCGTCGGCAGATTTCGCTTACACTGTGCAAATGCATGATCATGTGCCACGGCAGCTGTCTTAAACAAACCCAGACCGGCAGTCAAAGCGGATCCTCCATGTTGCACGTGTAGGCACATGCCGAAGTCGTCCGGGACGAGGTGCACGCTGCGTTCACCTAAGAGGCATGCAATTCAGAGGGTTTTCCCCTGGCATTGGTCCTGGCAATCAGGCATGGGCCTCTGCGGATCTGCAGTTGCATCATGAAGTTGAAGTCCTGCATCAGCGCTCCCACAAACGCTGCGCATAGACTCTAATTGTTGTTGATAATGAGTCAGGAGGCTTGTGATTGTGACGAAGTGAAAGATGATGTTGGTGGCGATGCCCACGTTGATGATGATGATGCCTACTATATTGAGTGGCCGTCGTAGGTGGTAGTAGCAGTCGTGGCTGTAGTCGTCGTCGCAGTAGAGGTGGCACTGGCTGGCACTGGTACTGGTACTAGTACTGGTGCGAAAACTGGCAGTTGTAGAAGGATTCTGGGGAAGACGAGTATGGAACGGGCGACAAGGTTGTTCAGCGTGACGATGATGCGGAAGATAACGATGATGAGCATGAGGGTTGCGGTTACGAGGATGATGCTGATAGGCAAGCTGGTGATGATGAACAGTGCATGCTTCGACACGACGACACGGAGCAGTACCCCGTGCAAACCATGACGAGATGAATCAAGTCCGACAGCAACTGCAACAGGGACGAAATCACCAGGAAGATGGGCACAGCAGGCAAAAGACATGCTGGGAACTCGTAGCGAGCAATGAACGCGATGGTGTTGATATGTGTATATATATATATACGTATATATATATACACATATATATATATATAGCTGTTAATGGCTTTGTGGCTGCAGCCGTAGGCAGAAACAGCCTTGATCACGGGATCATGCCACAGGCAGGGGGAGCCAGTCGAAAGAGGCCGTCCTCCCCAAGGTTGATGTCATTGTACCACCTCCGAGCTGAGGCTAGTTCCAACTCAACATCCGAAGCGACGACGTTCCAGTCCCAATCCGTCTCTGTTGACTGCTTGAGAACCTTTAGCATCAACTTTGGGAAGTCCAGGACTTTCATACTAGCGAACCTCGAAAACTATAGGCCTAAGACTCCTTAATTTGAGCCACTTGCGGACACTCCAGCAACTGGGACCTGACCTCCGGCGCACTCGAACACCAGTATGCAACGTGGATCTGGGAAGATACACCAACAGAAACACGATTCATAGACTCGGTAGAAGCAAGATCATCAGCAGGAAAGCCACCACAATGTCGTTGCCAGCGTCAACATCGCCGCCACGCTGTTCACCACCATCACGAACACCAGGCCGCCATGATCATAGCTTTCACATCTCCCAAGCACCACCTAAACCCTAAACCCCTAAACCCTAAACCCTAAACTCCTAAACCCTAAACCCCTAATCCCCTAAACCCTAACCCCTAAACCCTAAACTCTTAAACCCCAAAACCCCTAAACCCCCCAAACCCCTAAACCACGATCACCCTCACATCACGATCATCATCCTCGTCTCTGGGACTCCGGGCAGATCCAGGGAAGCCTCGCAAGCTGCTAGCAGAAATGGGTTTAGGGGGTGTTAGGGTTTAGGGTTTAGGGGTTTAAGGGGTTAAGGGTTTCAGGGTTTAGGGTTTATAGGGGTTTAGGAGCGTTTAGGGTTTAGGGTGTGCGTATGTCAGGGTGGACTTTGAAGCTTTCCGGCTTGTCGACTTCGGCTGGCAGTCTTTTCAGCCTTGCCCCAGGCTCTAACCCCCCAGGTACCTACTGTATAGTGTACTATAGAGCCCCTAGGGCCCTATATAGTAGGTACCTGGGGGGTAAGGGCAGGCTCTACGTGATTTCTTTTGTGCGGGAAAGCTGCCTTGCAACTCGAGGTTCTGACCACATAGCATGGACCATGCCATAATGAGAACTATATTGCCCGGGTGTGTGTGCCGCGGCCGCCGAGCACGTTGATAAGCTCGGGCCCAAGATAAGAGGGCTCTAAGAGGGTCCGTGTTCGCTGTAGTTTGGCCACATCATGGAGTTGTCTGGACTCCGTTTGCCAGCCAGAACAGGGCACGTGCGAGGGCCTTTCATGCTCGGAGACTATTATAGTCTTGAAACTCGGTGCAGAGCTAACTTATCGTCAGCTCAGCAAGAACCTGGGATCCGCCTGCCGGCGATAGACGTAGGAGAAGCCGTAGCCGTAGGCCCAACTTTTTACCTCGAGCTTCAAAAAGGGCATGGCTGCAGGACGCAGGCTCTTTGGGTGTGGGCTGCCGGCTAGGGTTTAGAGTTTAGGGTTCAGATTTTAGCGTGTAGGGTGTAGATAACATCTACAAGTGCTGGGAGGCTCACGGAGGGGAAGAAACTGGAAGAAAGCTGAAGTGGGCATGAAACTTCACAAGTCTTCCAGCCCTAAACCCCTAAACCCTAAACCCCAAAACCAAAACCCCATTTCCACTGGCGCCTTGTCAGAGGTCTCATCCAGTCCCTTGGTGAGACCCCAGGCAATGGGGTCGCAAAAGGACCAAGCGTCGGAGTCCATGTGGTACACGTACCTGAGCGAAGCGAGCGAAGCGCGGTGTCAGTCTTCAGAATTAGGGTTTAGGGTTTAGGGCTTTAGGGGTTTAGGGTTTAGGGGTTTACAGGATTTAGGGTTTAGGGGTTTAGGGGTTTATAGGATTTAGGGTTTAGGGGTTTAGGGTTTAGGGGTTTATAGGATTTAGGGTTTAGGGGTTTAGGGTTTAGGGTTTATAGGATTCAGGGTTTAGGGCTTATAGGGCTTATAGGGCTTAGGGCTTAGGGCTTGGGGTCCCCCTCTTACAGTCTCATCCAGCTCTGCAAAGCTCCCTAGGCTCCCCAGAAGCGGCAGGGCCAGAAGGCTCTGGGCAAGATGGATCTAAAATAGGGGCCTTAATACTTAGAGTAAGGTCTTTTGGGGTATATGATACTGCTATAATCACACTAGGGAACCACCCAAACTGGTGTTGGTAGTTATTTTGGCCCCTGTTTCCCTAACCTCCCAGGTACCTACTATATAGGGTACTAGAGCCCCTGGGGCCCCATATAGTAGGTACCTGGGGGGTTAGAGTTTTATACACCGGAAGAACATTAAAGTGCATCAGAGTGGCCAGTTGGAGAGTTTCACGGCCAAGGCCTCGAGGGCTCCGGGAACAGAGTCTTCGGCAAGGGCACGGCTTTCCATGGTTGAGGGTGGCTCAGGGTTTAGGGTTTAGGGTTTGGGAATTGGGGTTTAGGGTTTAGGGTTTGGGAATTGGGGTTTAGGGTTTGGGGTTTAGGGTGTAGGGTTTGGGGTTTAGGGTTTGGGGGCTTAGGGTATAGGGGTTTAGGGTTTAGGGGTTAGTGTTTAGGGGTTTAGGATCTAGGGGTTTGGGGTTTAGGGGTTTAGGATTTAGGGTTTGTGATGATCGCCCTGTAACAGACACCTCTCATGTACCGGGAACTGAAGTATCGTAGGGCAAGTCTCTGAAGATGTCGAAAGAAGCCATCTCGGTTGAACGCTCTCATGTCGCCCCGTGGACCCTAAACCCTAAACCGGAATCCAAAACCTTGATGGTGGCTCCAGAATCTGCACCAGCTTTGCCGCCACGGCGCCCGCCGATCCTCCAGAGCGCTGACCATCGTGTTGAGGTAGCTGGGTGCCTGGCGACAAAGATGAATGCAAGGACGGAGTAGTAGCTTCAGCAACAACTATACTGTACTTTCAAGACATCAAGAAGCTTGAGCTCCATCATCTTTCAGCCAATGTTTCGCACAGAACGTGCCTTAATATTTCTCCCGACAGAGGTCAAGCATGGTAGTTTTGGCTATGCGATGTGTGGATGCCAAGGAAAGTCAACGTCCCGCAGCCAGATTCAGCTGAGCCGAAGACGTAAAGATCGTCGTCGTCGAAGCTTGCAATGAACTCGCCGGATGCAAGGTGCGTTCCCACATTCCTGGCGTCGCTATGCTGCCGAAAACACCTTTGGGATGCCCCGTCCCTTCCCGCACACTGAACCGTGCTGGGCCTCTTCAGTCCGATGCTCCAGTCCGATCGGGCCTGCTGCTTGTACTTGACATAGACCTGTCAAGCAGGGGCCCGAGTGCCAGGCGGTCTCGGCCAGGGAGCTTTCGGTCAAGCTCCTTTGAAACAGGGTCCAGGAGAGCTAATGTAGTAGCCTTAATAATTAGAATAGGGTTTTGGGGCCCATTACATTATAATCTTAATAAGGAGCCCCCAAAATAGCATATGTAATTATTTAGGCCCCTATATTAACGTCAAGGATCCCAGACTCTCAGAGGCATTCAACAACCTTGGCCAAAGAAGAGCTCGGGGCAAACACGGCTGCCCTGTCCAGTGAGAGTCACATGAGCTTTGTCGGTCCCTATGAAAGGCATTTTCCGAGACAAATCCGCGTGTGCTGCTCTTCGAAAGAGACCCCTTGCCCCGTTCTGAAAGCCTTCCAGCCGACAGCACTTGCGTTCATGCTGCTTAAGCAGCCACAGTGACAATAGTGGGTCGATAGCTGCGATGAAGAAGAAGACGAAACAGTAATCATAATCATAAGAAGAAGCAGAAGAAGAAGTCGATGAGGCCGAAGATAAAGATGTTTACGCGAATGAAAAATAGCGATGATGACGACCATGACGATGATGACAAATTTTAAATACACCAACAATGATGAAACAATAAGAAGAAGAAGCTGATGCTAAAGAAGTTATGCTGATGATGCTGACTGTGATGCTGCTGACGAAGATGATGATGTGCAAAAAATACAACTAGAATGATGATGGTGATGGTGACGAGGATGGTGGCAAAGGCGGAGATGAAGATTAATGTGGCTGTAGTCATGCGGATGAGTATACAGGCGACGATGGTAGTGATGGTGAAAGCCGCCCCTACAATGGCCGCCACTATCAACATCATCAGCATCATCATCATCACCATCATCATCATCACCATCATCATCATCACTATTCTTATTATCATCATCATTGTCAACCACCACGAACTCGGCGATGACAGTGACGACCCCAATGACCAGAATGACTGACAATAATGATGGTGCTGATCATGATGCTGGGGATGATGAGCACGAGTTGCATGAACGGGTTGATGACGACATAGTCACACTGCACGAAGCTGATCTCAACGATGAAGATTTGCACATTTCTTGTGTGTCCAACACACCTAGCTTGTGCACACTCTCCTGCAGTACGAATGATGCGTTTCCATGATCGAACCTTCGACTGCAAGAGCTTTAACCTTGGCCACCAAGCCCTCTTTCTCAAGCAGGTCGGCTGCGCCACTCTGGGATCAGTCTGTGCCTTCCTTGGCGGAGCTGTTAAACGCGAACACGGATAAGTCTGTCGGTCGACTCCCCCTACAATGTTACAAGTGCACAGATGTTGGCCCATATACTGCAAGGACTCCCTGGGACTCTCATCTGTCTTCGATGTCCTCACGAGTGCCTCCTGCCCTCAAGCTTTGAAGATCCTACCTTCACCCACGCAAAATCTTTCCATGAGCCTCGGCCGCCAGCTGAACACATCGAAGTTAGGGTTTAGGGTTTAGGGCTTGCGGAAATCAACTTGTTTGGGGATGTTCACAATGACTTCCCTGTCTTGCAGCTTGAACGCTGCGAGAAGAAGTCAGAGTAGGACTCCCAGTATGTCTCCACAATGACAAGCTCCTGTGCGTTGTATATCAGATCTTCTGTGACGCAAACGAAGCTGCCGGTACTCCTATTGCTACTACACAGTTACCACACCGGTGGCAATCGGCCTCAGTGCAATGCCGGTGATAGCTCAAGTGCGATAGAAGGTTGAGTGATTTGCATCTAAAAACAACATTTCCACTTCTACCACTAGGACGAAGACGAGGACGAGGACGCCTACTACTGCTGCCTCCTACCACTATCGCCAAAAAACAATATCGATGATGATAGCGAGGATGTTGTTGGTGATGATACATCATGATGACTGGTTCCGTTTTCGTCTTGAGCCAATCATATATAACTTCTGAAGATACATGAAGCCACTACTAATCGCACAGGGCTTTGCATGACTGTGAAACTCCCAACAGTAAACCCCACACTCGACGGTATCACCACTCGTCATCACTAGTGCGACTCCACATGAATGCGTCCTTGTCTGGCCAAGTCTGTGCCTCAAAGCACCTCAATGGAAGAATGGGGCTTAGGGTTTCGGTTTTCAAGGTTTGGGGAGGAGTATGTTGCAGCTTCACGACTTGGACCTGTTTCCTCTCCCCGAAATCACGGGCTCAACAACGCCGGGGGTTTTTCAGCTCGCTATAAGGGTACTATGAGGTTACTGTAAGTGGACTATATCATGAACAACAGCTATGACTGCGAGTTGTAGGGCACAAATACGGCAACAACGAAGTGCTCGACCCAAAGCACTGCGTTCTTGAACCCCCGAGAACGCATCCGAAATCTGGTGGCCACCCACCCGAGCAGGACACCTTAAACCTCGAAAGCCAGCACCTAGAACCCTCCAGCTTTCGTATAGTGCTCTGCTACACCCTAAGCCCTAAGCCCTAGTAGGCGGCCCTGAACCCTTTTTCTGAGGGCTAGGGCCCCGAACCGGAAGAGCTGCTCGTGGAACTTGTGGCGTGTTTCCGTCGTGGGCGTGACCTATCATGGCGGTGCAAGCACGCAATTTAAGCTACAGCCCAAATGAGCTACAGCTCAGGGTTCGGGGCGTCCAAACCGAGCATTGCATCTTCTACGAAAGACGTAGCGAGAGCTTGTGCTGGGTCCTGTGTACCGCTGGATGCTTCCTGTAAAATCAGGTTTGTCCCAGCAGGCCTTCGAACAACCCATGCGATGTCATCGGAAGCCAAAGCGGACTCATACAACTTGGACACAGAGACGAGCGCAGGAGAAAGAGACGTTGGGAAAAAGTATAATGAGGGCGGAAGGTAGAATTGCAACGATGCCACCAAGCCCTACAGTATCTTTTTCCATGGCCGGACGCTACAGGGACCTGCCATATAGACTTCTTGTCAACAACCGCTAAGCGGAGTCGTACTTAGAACGACACCAACAGCAACACGAAGCAAAGCAATGTGCCAAGACAGCGAAGAATGGCATCTAACCACCCAGTTGCACATATCGCAGATGACACAGCAACCTCTATGCGCAAAACCTCCAAGGAGTATACCCATAGGCCCCTAACCATACAAAGGAACTACTTAGGGGCCTATGGGTATCTGCAAGCCTGCTCCCTCATGCTCGTACAATCTATTTCCGCGCGGGCTCGTCTGCAACCCTGCAGCAGCCTTGCCTAGCCTGGTAACCCTTACCCCCCAGGTACCTACTATATAGGGCCCCAGGGACTCTAGTACCCTATATAGTAAGTACCTGGGAGGTTAGGGTAAACTCAACCCGAAAGCCTACAACATCTATAGAACCCAATCCCGCAACCCTAAACTCCTGGCACCTACAAGGTTAGGGCTAGGGTAAGTCTAGGGTTCAGGCTTCAGCAATTTAGTGTAATCTGAACCCAGCCAGTGTGGCAATTGAAACGCGGCCCTTGACACCGCCATTGGCCAAGCCCGGCTTGGACCTGTCTTAGCCGGCTTGTGGGTTTGGGGACTTTCCCGGGTTTAGGGGTTTAGAATTTGAGGGGTTTGGAGGTCTAAAGGTTTAGGGTTTAGGGCTTGCTAACTTACGGGTTTAGAGGGACTTGTCCAGGTCCCATGGGTTTCGGCTTCAAGGCTTAGTGTTGTAGGGTTCAGGATTTAGGAAGAAGTATGATATCTCTGACGTCTAACTGGCCATTGGTCATCAGCACATCAGGGTGATTCGCAGAGTGCCTGATATTAGTAGGAATAGTCGTCGTGTCAGTGTTGCCAATACGATGCATATATCTCCTTCTGCTCCTATTCGCACTCTTCCATTATCGCTATGACTGAATTGCGCGTCTAAGGGCATCGATCTACTTTTCACTCCGCTTGGTTGCTGGCGTGTGGCACTCGGGCGATGCGGAGTTCTGCTGCTGTTCTACTATTCTGCCTCTTGATTTCCGCATTCTTGCTGCTGTTGCTCAGCTGGTTGCTGTCCTTGCTATGCTTGAACCCAGCCCTGAAGCCTAAACCGTCACCTTATTGCTGTCCTCGGTGACATCCTCGTCACTGACTCCGTGCTGTGTACCAGTGCCCAGGAGCTCCGATCTGTCCAAGCACCCTAAAAATCCCCAAAACCAACCATAAAAAAGGCGTCGAACCTCTCAAGCCGCGAGTAGGGCCTGCTGTTGGCCTCCTTCAAGACGTTTCTCGGATGCACGGCGCCCTGGGACCAGAACCACAGCAGGCACTCCCGCTCGTCCCAATCCTCGGCTAGATGCGTCAGGATCGGATAATCGAAATGACGATGGTCATCGCGATGATGATAATGATGATGGTGATGATGGGGGTGGTGATGATGGTGATGATGCTGCAAGCGGTGATGTTGAGGATGATGATGATGATGATGATGAGGATGATGAGGATGATAACAATGATGAAGCAATAGCTAGCAATGTTGTGGGGGTTTCAGGTTTAAACTTAGGGAAGGCTGGCCGCAGTGAGGAGAGACTATGAAAACGAACTACATGAATCAAAACATTAATGCTTTCTATGTGCATATGTGCATACGCACAAACAGCCCCACCCACACACACACACACCCCACACACACACACACGCACACACACACACACCACACACACACACAGAGAGAGAGAGACACCCAGACACACAATTGTGTGCATATATAAATATGTACATATATATATATATATGTATATATATATATATATATGTACATATGTACATATGAATACAGAGACAGACAGGCAGGCAGGCAGGCAGGCAGGAGACAGAGAGAGAGAGACATGCAAACAGGCAGACAGGCACACAGTCGGGCAACCAGGCTGACATGCATGCATATATATATATACACATATGATATATATATATAGATATGTAGATATAAATACCTATGAATATGAGATACATAGGTACATACCAGTAGATAGGTACGTATGTACGTACATACGTACATGCGTGATACATATAGGTGTACATGTATATGCCTGTTTTCATGTAGAAAAGGCCAACAGTAGGACTGCTTGTGTTGGCGACCAAGAAGCAAGGGCTTCGTGGGGCAATGGCGTCACCTGGGCTATTGAGCAAAACCTTCCGGTAGGCTGAGCTGATTTCAGGTTTATGACTTCAGTATCTGCTCAGTATCTCTGAGCTTACCCTTCTGAACATGTTCGATTGGAACTCAGGCTTCGGGTTTTGGATTCTTTCAGCTGCCCGCCTCTCTGTTCATGGAGCCCTTTGCCTTTGTCTCCCGTGCTTTGAGGATCTCGCCAATCTCAACCATCTGGTGCTCTGTGTGATGGCAGCCGCAACGCCTACACCGCAACCTCCCAGGCGAGTTGAGGCCCCACCGGAAAGGTACGTAGCAGGCGCATGGGCAGTTGTTGCAGTTCATCCGCGGCATGTTCATCGGGTCTAAGTTGCCCAGGTCCTTGTCTCGGGTGTCTGGGCTAAGTGTAGCAGCCTTCTTCCACGGGCTGTACACAGCTTTACCATCGTTCAGCTTGCCGAGAACTCGCACGAGGAAATTCCTTCCTTCAGGCATATTCTGAATGCAGCCTTCCTTGTCGCGACCCATGCTCACCTCAGCTGGCAAGCCCAGACGTAGCAAGGCACAACCACAAGCCTACGTCCACAGCACTCTCACCGACGTCTCTGAAGACCAAGCAGCCTTCTTGACCATGGCATCTTTGGCCGGCTTCACTGCCTTCCCAGACCGGTCGATCACCTGCTGGCTCCATGCTGAGCACTAAGAAACAGATGTGATGCTGGCACCCTTGACAGGTTCACGCATTTTGCAGTGCTTTGCCAGTCTCATCGTAAATACGACTAACGCTGCGACTTTGACGGTTTGTATGAAGATGGCTGCCAACCTACCCTTCTGCTTCATACTCCCCAGCGCTGCAATAGAAGCAGCAGCAGCAGCAACAGCAGCATCAGGATGCAGTACACACAAAGAGACAAAGTAGAAGCTGCAGCAAGAGTACAGTAGTAGTAGTAGTGGTGGTAGTA